CATGCGATCAATAGTGTTCGTCTTGTTGATTAACCTTCACCGACCGCTAACCGAACTGACTTGTCCCACTCTGCCTTGAGTCTCATTCTCGTGTCCAGCCAGCAGCCGTACAGGGGTTAGTACACTGAGGCAGACAGTATTGCCGGCAAAGACAAGAAAGACTGGAATGGCTATTGCTGGCTTATTAGCAGTCGTCATCTAGTCTTCCCTAACCCCAAGTGGTGCTCCACCCGAGGCTCGAACTCGCGGTCTTTTCGATCAGAGTCTAGCGTTCTAACCATTGCGCCACGAGCTCATTGTTTTGCCGGTTTAGTTTGGGAGATATTGACATTCATTGATGAATGTGCACCTACCGTTCATCAATGAAGTGGGCGCCTTGTATTGTGAGCAACAGTGAGTTACGCGGCAGTGAGGGCTAGGTGGATCCGTTCCCGGGAGGGTGGAGTGGGTAGCGGACGAGTGGATGCAATAAAGCGACCGTGGGCCAAGCTCAGTGCGGAGCTCAAAAGATATCATTTCTTGCACAAAAGGCCAGCTTCCTCAAGCTTGCAGCGTTCGCTTCTGTTGTTGCTAACAGACACCGACCCGAGTAACGTGGGCTGGTTTGGTGGCACTTAATAAATCACACAGACGACCTCGTTGGAAGTACACACGATGCGCTGGTTATTTTTTTAACTTTGCCTTTTCTCAGCAGGCACGACGGGAGGTGTTGCCGTATCTTTCTGGATATGGATTTAAACCGGCTTCATAGGAGCAAGTAGCTGAGTAAATGCACATGGACGTAGTCCGAGTTGACAGCCTATTCTTACCTCCCTACCACCACCTCCGTATGCATTTACGCATTTATTGGCTCCTTTGAAGCGCGTTATTTTGGGTCTCTTGAGTCGGCGCTTACCTAAAAGAGAAATAACAGAACACTTCCCGTCGCGGCTGAGAACAGGTGACAGTAAGAACCCCCCATGGGATTTGTAAGGTCATACATCCGACTGCAACAACGGAGGCGCCCGCTAGTTTTGTGCGCGCAACAGAATCTTCGCAGGCTCTGCGCCTAGCATATTCAATATTCGCTTAACTGCATGTCCCCCTCCGCGCCCCCATATACGCAAAAGTTGGCTGAGCTGCGTACTCCAAACGCTTACTGCAGTAAAGTAAACATCTTGATAAAAAGAATACATGTCATGGTTAATCAAGTAGTTGCCAATACAAAAAACATGCGAGTCCCAGGAAGTAGTTAAGAAGTCGAAGACAACTCGATCGCTGGGACACTATGTTTATGTGCTGACGTTTCGATATCCGTCGCGGATTCATCTTCAGAGCCATACTCACAGAACAGTAGCAGAAACA